GGGGGAGTGGCACGTCTCCATTGATGAAAAGCCAAAGTTATTATTAATTACCAGTAAGTGCACTGTTAGGTGTAAGTGATGTCGAGTATTAAGATGCTAGAGTAAGATGATGCCCAAACCCTGTTTACCGTTTAGGGAGGTGATAGTCTGGCAGGCCAGGTCACCTGGCTTTCAGTGGGTCAAGGAGCCTGCCTGAGACTCTCAACTAGGATTAAATCCTGCTGCTCAGTATCAGACCCATGCTGTCGTTTTAAGTTGTAGGATATTTTTTAGAGATAAGCAAACAAAATGCAAGTAAAAATCACCCCAAGTCCCACTCCCAGAGATGGTCACTATTAATAGTTTGGCCTGTGCCATACTGTACACACTGTATGACCTTCAAGCAAGTTATTCATCCTTCCTTAACCTGATTTTACTCATCTGCTAAATGAAGATAATAGTAATATACTTTATAAAGTGGTCGAGAAGATTAGGTAGCTAATATTTAGTTGTAAAATACATATATGTAAACTTTTCACTTATTAATGAAAATGAATGTTTTTGTGTCATTAAATAGTAGTTTATTCTTCAAAAATTCTTTTAACAGGTGAAAAGAATTTGTATTATGCACCATAATTTTTTTCATTAATCCTACTTCGTTAAATACTTAAGTAATCTATTGTGTTTCATTATTATAAATTCTTTAAGGAGGCTGCAAGAAACTCTCCGTGTACGAACATGTTAATTTTCTTGGGAAAAAGTTTTGACTTGTCTTGATAAATTTCTCTCCAGAACGACTGAACCAACTTTCATTTTCACCAGCAATTTCTTATGGTACTTCCTCAGGATTATAATTTTTTAAGCATTTCAAATTTGTTATTCAAAAAATATATCATGTTATTTTATTTTTAACCTTTTGTTCTGAATTTCTTAAATGAAAACATCTGAATGAATTCGTCAAAAGGAAATAAATATGTTGAGTAGTGAAAGGCATTTAAAATTTAATGTAGGAAACTCAAGGAAGCAGAATAGCATTTATATTTCAATTACAAATACTCTTTCAATGTTTGTTATTAATTAGCTTACTAAAGAAAAATTACAACTATGCACATGATATAAATTAAATTAGTCAACAAATATTTACTCAACAACTACTCTGGAATATTGAAGGCAATATGAGAAACAAAAAATATTTTATTGCATTTATATGTATTTAAGGCAACTTAAGAATATGCAAATGAAAAAAATACACTTTTAGACCCTTCTCCCAAGAGTTAGCATTTAGTTGGTAGTTGGTTCAACCCTCAGTTCTGGGTCTTAAAATGTTTGATAACTCTGTGGAGGGTTAGCAATGAGAAAAAATTTTCCAGATTTTCTTTGAAATTGTGAAAAGATATAAAAATATAAACTACTGCCATGTTACCTTAAATAATACTAAGTTAGGTGACCGAAACCTAACAAACAAATTGGCCATCCAATTTGCCAACTAGCTGTGTAAATTCAGACAAGTCATTGCACCCTCTGAGCCATAATCTCATCAGTAAGGGAAGAGGGAAATAAGAGTATGTAGAACACTTGTGTATGTGCTTTTGTTAATATTAATGGAATAAATAACCACTGTTTTATTGTAAAAATTGGGTAAAAGTATAACAGTAAATGTTATACAACTGGTATTGTTAGCATCATTTTTATATTAATAGCACCCATAAAAATAGCATAGAAAAGTACTGAAAACAAGTAATTCTGATGTGTTTGTGGTACAATATCATAGACTGCTCCAATGAGCTCTGCTTTTCCACAGAGCTAGGTGGCTTGCAGGGGATGTCCAAGCAAAGTGACGTAAAGGACGTGAAAGTCTCCCCTCTCCCCGCAAATTCTACAATTTTCTACGGGTGAAATAGTGGAGGAAGGATGGTCTTTACAGAGTTAAATTCAAATCGACATATTTCAATCACAAAATTTCATTTTCTCAGTTTAAAATGCACCAATTGGAACCTCTTATGAAATTATCCACTTTAGGATTCAGTTTGGTTCAAGATAAATTGACTTTTTAACCCTTTAGTTTTTAGGGTTCTTTACATTCTAGATTTATGCCATATAATTCCTTCCTATTAATAGTGAAAGATGAAAACGCCCATAAAATGTGGCTATTATTAAGTTATTTACGTTGTTGACACCGAGTTTTCCTCACGCAGGCCAGTGCCAAAGACACAGGATCTCTGTATGCGGCAATACATCACCGTCTTGTTGCTCTTCGAAGCTTCCAGAAGCAGAAAGACGTAAACCAAGCTGAAAGCCAGCCAGAAGCAGTCCTCCAGCAACTAAGCTGCGACAGCTGTGATGAAGATGACGATGACTTCATCCAAGTCACTAAGAATAGATCAGGTAAAGGACTTTTCTTTTGGTAGGTCATGGGTTTAAGAAAGAAATGCTAAGCACAATCCTAATATATGCGACAGATTTTTTAAAGAGTGGAACCCGTCTGTTTAAAGTGGGTCGGGGTTCGAGCCCTTGCTGTCGGGCTCCGGGAAGTAGGTGTGAAAGTCTGTCTTCTATGTGGGCTTTCATTAGGATTTTGCCCAAAGCCAGCCTCATCATGATGCCTGGATATCATTTACATATAAATTGTATTAAGATCATTTTTATAATTTAAAGTATTAATTGCTACCCTGAAACTAACCCTTTATTCATATTTCTCTTCACCTGCTCTCGTTCTCCTATTACTGGCCGTAATAGGAGAAATTATAACTGCTTGTGACAGAGCCACCAGGCAAACCTGGCTTAAAACATCAAAAACTCTCTTTATTCCCTATTTGGAATCTGGCTGCTTTATTTTCAAAGGCTTTTTTTGCCTGGTGCAAAATGAATTACTTCTTCTATTGTGTCAGGATTCATGAGTTGAGTGAGGTTGAAGTGGAACCAGCAGTAAACAGAGTTTAGGTTTCAGTGTTTGTCCTGACGAGTGGATTTAAAATTAAAGTTCATTATTATTTTTGGAGAAAAACATTGCCAAGGAAACAATGAGCTCTGTTATATAGATGTAGTTATTCTAATATGGTCAGCCAAATATTTTCAGGAATAGTTTCATTTAGGCTTGAATTCTGCTCTACAGAGGACTGAGGGATATACTTACAAAGATAGTGTGTCAGCCAGCAATTTTCCAACTTTTAACCATCTTAAATCTCAAAGCTAGTTTAATCATACATACATAATTTAAGAATCCATCGAAAAACATGTACAGAACTCCATGAAATATCTTCCTTTGCCTAGTACTAAAAATGTAATCAAGAGAAACATGGACCAACCATGCAGATCAGGATCATAGAGTGCTGGACTCAGTGAATCAGAAAACCAAGTGAAGATGATTTTTCTTGTTATTATTAAACAAATGGCTTGTTATTCTTTGAAATGTATAAAATTTTTATCTTTTATATTATTATAAAGTTTATATTANTTATAAAGTTTATATTGTCAACAATAAAATGGGGTCTGTTAGAAAATGAGTTGATATCCACTAAAAATGTTAGCTTGAGTATCTTTTAAAAAAAATCCTCACTGGAGGACATGTTTTATTTTTATTTTTATTGATTTTGAGAGAGAGAGAGAGAGAGAGAGAGAGAGAGAGAGAGAGAGACATCGATGTAAGAGACAAACATAGATTGGTGCCCAGACAGGTACAAACCCAAAACCTGGGCATGTGTCTGACTAGCAATAGAACCAATGACCTTTCGTTTCATGGGATGATGCCAGGGCAAATGCTAACTTGAAAGCAGGGTTAAATGTCAAAGTCTCATCAACAAAGGACCTGTTTATGGAATCTATATTTTTTAACATGCAACTATCTTCAGATGAGATGAGAAACAATGGAAATAATGCAAAGTAAACGTCAATCCTATGAATCCCCCCTTCCCCTCTCCCCTTTTCACTTAGTATCTTCTCCAAGAGGTGTTGCATCCAAATGCTAAAATGTTATGAAAGCAACAAAAAGTGTAATTTTAAAAACTTTGTTGCCCATGACTTCAGGAAGGGTTTAATTATTTGAAAATCTCATGTTTAAAGTGAGTACCATTTTCAAATGTTACTTATAAGAATATACATTTTATATATTTCATTTCCTCACCAGTGAGCATATTCATGAGTATTTCTGTTCAGTTGTATTCAGTATTATATCTAATCTGAATATAACATTGTATAATAAAATATATTAAATTTTCATCACAGATCCTTCTAGGTGGACCCACCGACAGTCAGTTGCCTGTTCATGAGTGCCACCTACTATGAACATGACACCATCTATACAAAGATTGGTTACCTACTGAAAATTCTAAGCCATCCTGACTAAATAAGAAGATATGGTTCATTCCTTGAAGAATTTTAATAGGAAAGTTCATGAAATATAACTTGTTGCAATTGTTTTTCTCTTATATAGTCTAATAATTCTGAGGTTTTACATTTTGATTATTGTGGAGAAAATTAACAGACTCTAAGAAATACATGGACTTCAAAAGTTCAAAATTTGTCATTTTTGAAGAAGTTAATTTAGAATAGGATTTGGTAACTAATTTGGACTATTCATCACATTGATGGATATAATAAAATTATAAATTGCTGGATTTGATAAATATCTAAGTAAAATGTTTATTTTTTCAGTCATACGTCGTATGGCCATAAAACAAATATTTTACAATATTTCCAGTCATTTTTTTGAAAACCACTGTAACTGCAAAATAACATTTCATTAAAACATGTTTTTCTTCTGGGAAATGTGTATTTTCATTCAGCCTTTGGATTTCCTAATACTATAAGATTATGTATTCATATATTCCTTTAAAGAGAGTATTTGTTCTTGGACTTGTATCCACTGCACCTTGTATATGTTTACTCACGGTCAGCCTCCAACAGTTGTTGAAGGAATGAACAAAATACATTACCTATGTATCAAAACAGTAAGTATGCAAAACTGCAATACTTTAACTTGTTCTTTGCTTTATTTATGTAATTCAATTGTCATTAATATTCTAGTAGGCATGGCTGTAGAGAGACCTTTTCGAAATAAGTATATCATATATAGCCAAGTGAAATTTTTCTTTAAAAATTCAACAGTAATTTCAACAATCATGCAACAGAGTTTTGATGCTCCTTTTTTTGATTTTTGTTTCAGAGAGAACGTGTTACCCAAGAAAATGAGTCTCAGTACTTATAGCCATATTTCATTTTTTGGTCCATTTTGATCACCCCTTGGTTTTAAAAATGACTTCTGATTGTGACCCCCATACAATTCCCGTTAGAGGCATCTTAGTCTGCTCAGTCTGCCATAACAAAATACCACAGACTGGGTGGCTTAGACAACAGAGCTTTATTTCTCACAGTTCTGGAAGCTGGCTGGCCAGGTAGGTTTCCTTCTGAGGCCTCTCCTCTTGGCTTGTAGGGGGCACCATCTCACTGTGTGCTCACGTGACCTCTTCTGGTGGGAGCATGGCAGAGAGAGGGGGGGAAAGCTCGCTGGTGTCTCTTCCTACAATCGCATCAGACCAGCACCCACCCTCATACCCTCATCTAACCCTAATTACCTTCCAAAGCCCCATCTCAAGCACCATCACATTGCGGGGTAAAGTTCCAACGTATACATTTTACAAGAACATAAACATTCAGTCTATAACAAGGGAGTAAGATTCATAATTCCAAAATGATATCTGAAAATGTTTTGATATTTGAAAACGATGGCACTGGAGGAGTTATTGAAATAACTGGTAAATGTTTAGCCTAAGAAAGACTTGGTATACACTAGTTTTCAAAAATTAGAGGTTTACCAAAAGGTCTTAATTTTTGCCAATCTAGTGGACTTAGAAGGCTGTTTCACTATTACCTTCATTTGTGTTTTTCTGATTTTTAATAAGGTTCAGTATCTTTCCGATCCTTATTCCCTGCTTATATTTCTCCCAAGAAATTCCTGTTCATAATATTTGCAACACTAAACATGCCATTTTCTCCTTTTAGTGGCTTCTTAGCATTTATGGAATAAAAGCCAAGTTTCTAAGCATGGATATAATACTTTCCATGCCTTTCCCCCTGTCTACTTCTCTAGCCTCACCTCCCACTGTTGACTGTCTCCCTCTAAATCCTCTAGGGACTCAGAGCTATTTCAGTGCTCCACACCTTTTCAGAATGTTATTCTCACTCTTGCTGATTCTAGCTAATACCTATTCATTCTTTAGGCTTGGCTCATGGCATTTCCAGACAGCTTTCTCTAACTCCTCTTAGGCTGAGTGTAGACCAGTTCCTCCAGATTCCTGTAGCATTCTGGGTGTAAACTTTAGGCTCCTTAAGCGGGGAGACTACCTTTTATTTATCCTAGTAGGGTGCCTGCCCCATAGCAGGCAATGAAATATAATTTGATCTCCGCTGACAGGTGCCGTATGTATCAGGCTCAACAGAAAGATAGAAATCAAGATTTGAAGCTCAGGAGGCAGTCTGGGATAAAGATACTGGTAGTAGCCAAAGTCATGTAAGGGGAAAGGGGCTAATATTTGCCAAGTGTATACTTTGTAATGGGTACATGTCTAGGCATTTGTACATATATTTACAACTCTACAAGGCAGCCATCACATTTTAAAAATGAAGAAGTGGGATTAGAAAGGTCAAGGAACTAGTCCCAGGTTGACAAAGGTAATGAATGGTGAAGCTGGGGTTTGAACCAAGGTCTTTTTAAGTCCAAAGTCCAAGCTCTCGTCATTACACAATACTGGATGAACTCATGTGGAAGAGTGGAGAGAGAGAGAAGGAAAGGGGAAGGAAGGGGAGGGAAGGATGTATCCTGAAGGTGAGCTTAGGAAGAACCCAAAAAGGGGACAGAGAGATGGGAGGAACACCATTAGAGACTGGTTCGTTGGAAGCCTAAGTAAAAAATTTCAAGAGGAAGTGATAACCATGTCCAATGCTGCATAAAGATCAGGTCATTTAAGGGCATAACTTGCTGGAGTAATACATTTGAGGAGGTAGGAGTGATGGGATCCAAAAGTAACAATGGACAACGGGATATACCAACCGCGAAGGTGTCAATGTGGGTAAGTTTCTATCTGGAAATGGGGGAGATCCAAAATTTGAGTTCGTATCTGTGGAATGGGAAGAAAAGCGGTCTGACATTTCACATGTTTGGACCCAACTCATAGACTTTGATTCCAAACTGGTTTCTAGATTCATTTTTCAGTCAAATGGATCACCGACTCCACTGTACATCCGAGCTTGAACCTGTGTCCTCCGTGACTTCCTCCGTCTCCTCTTTCCTGATACCTAACGAATCACAAAGTGTTAGAGCAGCAAGACCCAGACAGGACCTTGAGGACGTTCACACCGTAACACCCGCAGGGCCTGAGAGGCGCGCTCAGCCTTCTCGCCTAAGTCGCTTAGCGGCCCCCGCAGGCAGCGCTCCTGGGCAGAGGGGACCCGCGTCCGCTCAAAGCGGGCATCTGCCAGGCTCCACGGGCCGTCCCAGGTTGATACCCTCACTACCTGGCACACAGCAGGGACTCGGCGAGTCGTCAGTGAGCCCGCGAAGGACCGTCCCTGGTGGCGGCTGGGCGAAAAGTCAGACTCAGCATCAAGCTGGGCTTCACGGAACCTCGGGATGGCTGACGGTCAGCCCCAGATGCGGAATCCGGGCCAGAAGGATGAAGTCACCTGCCCGAAGTCCAGGTGCTCCTACCGATGGTGCCAGGACTGCGGAGGAGCAGAGGGCGCCGGAGCACGCGGGGCGCATAAACGCGGGGTGTGCACCGCGCCTCAAGGCTCCTCGCACAACGGGGGCGGTTTCCTCCCTTTGCGATGCTGCTTCCCCCGCCCCGGCCCCGTGT